TTTTTTTTTTTTTTGAGTGCTTTATCTTTTTAATCTACAATAATACTGATAAAATGTTTAATCAACGGGCAATCTGAAAGCTGATTGACTTTGATTTTTGAGTGCTGAGCAGTAATATTTTGGAATATTGCTACAGGAAAGTAAATACTGAGAAACTACAGAAATTTAATGCTTTAAATTTTTTTTTTTTGTATTATCTAATAATATACATAAGCAATTCTGCTTCTTAGTGAATAGTCTGCAAGTGCATATCAAGAAAAATCATAGACAAACAAACAAACATCTGTCAGTGGCAGTAGATAACAGTGACTAAAAGTATTTAGAATAAAAACTATCAAGGAAAAAATTATTTATGCCTTAATAAACATTCTTAAAATTCGTAGTTCTCAAGTGACTATAAAAAATAGTTTCTTAAATCAAGTCTAGCTAGCTGTATCTACAAAAGTCTTCAGTTTTGTTTTTGCTTTTTTCAAAGCAATTTTTTAAAATTTAATACAACATTAGGTGCGATAAAGAACAGTATGAAATTGAAAATCAAATATAAAGTCAGTTTGCTTAAAGTAATAGTCAGCTAAAGTAATTTAAAGCGCTATTCGGTTATTGTGCATTTAAGTCCGCTTTTTTAAATTTAAAAAGGTCATACGTATATGACAAATACAACCTTTAGATAACTTAGTCTTCTTCTGCAAAGCTAGAAATAATTAAAAAAAAACTTTTAAAAATATTTAGATACACTTGTGATACGCTTGCTGCTTGTGATATGATTAAATTTTTTCTGAAGCATAAAACAAAATTTACTTTTTTGGCATTGATTTACGGTCTCTTGTTTCTACATGAATAGAATAATGATTCCATTAGCGCTAAGATATGTGTTTATTGTTTGGTAAAAACTTTACTCCCTTAGTAAAACTCGGACAGGTGGTATATTTCACAAAGCAAATGCACTGAAAGTAGATAAAGCTCAGTAAAAACAATTATGACACTATAAAAAATAGCTTCAGCTTATCGTTTTTCCATATAAAAAGTCATTCTGTGGATTCACAAGGACATAGGCACGACGTAACAGAGGACGCTAAGAGTGAAAAGAAGAAAAATAAATCACCCTCAGAAAGAATCGCTGCGCAGAAGGTCATGTTTTTGTTCAGATTGCGTTTCTTCTTTTGGTTCATTTTGTGCGGCCAAACGACCTGATGCACTAGCGTCCGAGATTTCCGTCACGGTTTTTGCAGCTGAAACCGAATCAAAGTCAACTTTTTTTTCTGTTGCTGAGTTGCTAGTAATTCCCTCTGGAAGCCCACTGGTACTTTCAAGCGACGTACTTGAATCGATGGGAAACTGAGATAAAGGCTGTATTGTTTCAGCTACTTGCTCTGGCATACTTTTTTGTTCTTTTTGCATTTCGCATTGCTTCACTCCAACAGTTCCATTTTCTGGCTTCTCTTGTTTTGCTGGTGACTCGTCTAGTGCTACCCCTAAAAGAACAGGAAATTTTTGTCTATGAGTTAGGAAATCATTGGCTCAATCACCGTTTCTTTCAATTTCTATTCACCTGATGCTAATCCAGCCGACTGTGGTTGCTCCACCGATGGCTGGCTCTCTGTTAGTGCAGACACAACGGGAACGTTGGCTTCTGTCACTCCAGAAACTACTGGTTCAACTT